ATAATCTTCGGGTGCAAGCCGCTGATGTCGACTTCCTGGACCGCCTCTTGGGCGACCTTCTGTAAATACGAATCTTGTTCGGCTTGGGTCTCACCAACGATTTCCTCGATCCGCGCCGGGTGAATCCGCCCGTCGGCGATGAGTTTCTCGAGTGCCCGCCGGGCCACTTCGCGGCGAACCATGTCGAACCCGCTGACGATGACGACGCCAGGGGTATCGTCGATGATCACATCGCAGCCGGTGGCCTTTTCGAAGGCCCGAATGTTACGACCCTCGCGGCCGATGATGCGGCCCTTCATCTCGTCGTTGGGGATGTCGACCGTGTTGGTGGTGGTGTCGGCCACATGGGTGGCAGCGTAGCGTTGCAACGCAGTGACCAAGATCTCTCGCGACTTATCCTCGCAGGTATCGATGAGCTTTTTCTCATGCTCGAGAATTCTCGCGCCGGTCTCATGCTTGAGCTGGTCGTCGAGCATGGTGAGCAACTGCGTGGTGGCATCTTCTTTTGAAAGCCCGCTTAGTTCGTGCAGTTTTCTCTGCTGTAACTCGATGACTTGAGCCAACTCTTCCTTGTGGCGGTCGGCCTCTTCGATGCGTTCGGCCAGGCGGAGCTGGTTCTTTTCGACCATCCGTTCCTGCTTCCGCAGCTGATCGAGGTTCTGCTCCAGCGTGTCTTCGCGTTTGTCGACGATCCGCTGCCGTTCGTGCAGTTCGTCGCGAATTTTCGCCAGCTCGCGTTCGCCATCGGCACGTTGCTGAATGGCTGCTTCTTTGATTTCGAGCTCGGCCTCGCGTCGGCGAGAATCGATCTCACGCTGCCCCTGCTGAATGATTTCTTTGGACTGACGGTCTGCGTCTTTCAGGCGCAGATAGTCGATGCCCTTGATAAGCACCACGGCCAGAATAAATGCGACGGCTGCTGAAGCTCCGCCGACGAGTACGGGGTTATCCACCGCCTGCTCCCTTGCGATATTAACTTCGGCAGGCTGTCGACCATCCACGAAATGCGGACTTCGAACCGGGGAGAAGGTGGCGAGCTGTCACACGGAAATGTAGTGACGCCATCCACAGCCGGAAGACACTTCGACCAACCGCTTCAGCAGTTGCAAAGCGAACTCGGCAGAATCGATTTTCTAGAGGCAAGCCGCCCGAGAGCCCCGGGCGACGCAATTCAACACGCGGCCCAAGCTAATCGTTGAACGGGGTGCTCCAGGGAGCCGTATTCCAGTCCTCGACACCGCCACATGCGTCTGGCGGGATGCCAGCTTGCATAAGCTTGCGGTGCAGATTGCCAACTTGAAACCAAACGTGTGTTGCACATCCAAATCAACTGCCCGGGGGACAGAGAAAGCAAGCGATGACCGAGCCCAAGGCGAGAGCGATGGGGAGCAACCCATCGTCCACCAATTTGAGCGCGCCCGGAAGCAACCAATTGCAAGGCGGAGGCCGTGGAGACCACGGACCGCAACATGCGAGAAAACCATTGCTGTACCAGGAAGATCAGCGCTGCGACCATTCCACCATCCTCAAGAAGTTGATTGGTTCTTGCTGCTAGGAAACGAGTTCCGACGCAGTGTCGCCGCGAAGCATCTCTCAGCTTGCCCTCTCCGGGCCAACCGAAGACACTTGTTCTCGATGACTGTTTCTTCGAACCATTACTGTTCGGACCAGCCTCCCACCCATCACGGTTAGACTTCTGGTCCGCCGCACTGGCAACCATCCAAAGAGGAGGCACAGCCGTGGGGCCGAAGGGCCGCTGCATGAAGGGAATAAGTCCAATCGAAGCATCCTACCAAAGTCGACGGTCTCTGCAACAGGATTTCCGCACTCGTTCGGGGGGAAGGCGTCTTTCTAACCGTCTAATTGACATAGACTTATCAACCCGTCTCGAACCAGCACCTCTCGCCGGCACTCGGGGCAAATCAGGCAAGCTATGACAACGGGTGAATGCGACCAAAACGAAGTCGATTTCGACCTCGAACAGGCCCTGGCCGAATCGTGGCCAGCCGAACAATGGCAAGATGTCACCGTTTTGCTGGCCGTTTCCGGAGGGGCCGACAGCGTGGCCTTGCTCCGCGCGATGGCCGCATTGAAAAACCAGGGCTCCGGCCAACTCGTGGTGGCCCACTTCAACCACAAAACCCGGGGAGCGGCCAGCGACGAGGATGAGCGTTTCGTTTTAGAGCTGGGCCAACAACTGGACCTCGCCTGCGAAGTTGGTCGAGCCCAGCCCAACGAGGACCCGGCCTGCGACGAACAAACGTGGCGGAACCAGCGTTACGAGTTCATGAAGGCCACGGCCGAACGAACGGGAGCCAGATATATCGCCACCGCGCATACCGCCGACGATCAGGCGGAGACCATTCTGCATCGCATTATCCGCGGCACGGGCATCAGCGGGTTGGGCGGAATCCCACGCGTGCGAACGTTGGGGCATGCTTCACTCATCCGACCCATGCTGGAGGTGCGTCGCGAACAACTGCTGACCTATTTGGGAAAGTTGAAGCAAGACTTCCGCAGCGATGTTTCGAACGAAGACTGCCAATTCATGCGGAACCGCATTCGGCACGAACTGCTGCCGTTGCTGGTCAGCAACTACAACCCTCAGGTGGTCTCCGCTCTTCGACGCTTGGGTCGGGTGGCCTCCAGTGCACAGGAGGTGCTCGAAGAGCGTGTGATCGAAGATCTCTGGAACCAATGTGTGCAAATATTGCCCGCGGGGGGTGTTGTGCTCGATTGCGGGCAACTCCGACAAGCCACCCCATTCTTGATCCACGAACTGCTCCTGCGGGCTTACCGGCATCAGGAATGGCCACTTCAAGCCATGGGACAGGCACAGTGGGAACGGCTGAGCGAAATGATCCTCACCGCGCACGATGTGCAGCCGATCATGCTGCCGGGTTCGATTCGCGCAGCCCGCGAGGGTGAACAGCTTTCGCTACAACGGATAGAGTCAAGTGGCAAATAATCACTGCGAGGTTGCAAGGCCACCCTTCGGCAGATCCTTTGCGCCCATCCACGAGCTCAGCAAGCACGGTTGAACAAGCCAACCGTGGCACCCTTATTAATAACGCTAGACTTGAAGGCGTGAGTCTTACTCAATCGGTCCTTCTACCCCACCGGTCATCAGCTCGGCTTCTTCCTCGCGGCTGAGGAGAATCTCGGGCTTGTAGCCACCCTTTGACTTGTCGTAGAGCACAATACCGCTGAACAGCACGATCAAGATGGCCGGCAAGACGCTGACCCAGCGGAAGGCCATCTTGAACCCGACGGCTTCTGCTGCAGTGACCTGATCGCGCTCTTCGAGCAGGCTGTTCAACGTAGCCAATTGTGGATTGGAAGCCGCCAACGAGCTGATTTCCTCACGGTTTAGCGCTCCCTTGGCGAGAATCTGTGCGGTGAACTTGCCGAAGTTTGGCTCCGCCTCGGCTGCCTCAGCCCTCATCCGGGCCGCCACATTCTGATTGGCCACAATCTGGTCGAAGACCTCTGGTTGCCCCTCAAGCAGATTGGCAATCTCATCCACTGCCTGGGCATTCAGATCATTCAATGCCTTACTATTGAGGGCCCTCGCTTGGCCGTCCTCGGTCTTCTCTAAGAACTGCCCCGTCAATGAGGGGCTGTCCTCCTGAAGCGTTTGCACGCTGTAGTGTTCGACGATGAGCCCCATCTGCGGCAAGACCATCGCAATCGAGAGGTTACCGACCGAGCCCATTAAAGCCAGCGCCAACGCACCACCGCGCGGGAACCGCTCGGCAGTAACACCCAGCATGGTGGGCCAGAAGTAGGCGATGCCCAGACCAAAGATGGTGGCAAAACCGAACGCGGTTCTTGTGTTGTCAGCGAAGCTCAGCAGATACAGCCCCATGCAGGCGAGTATCGACGAGCCGATCAACATTCCCGTAGGCGACAGACGATGCGCAATGGGCCCTGCGAAGTGACGCAGGACAAACATCATGCCGGAGGTGTACACGAGAATTAGCGTTCCGGAAACGTTCCCCCCGGTGACGCTCATCATCACCGATTCTTGCCATTTTTGCGGACCAAGTTCGGTCGCGGCGGTCATCAACATGCAGATGGCCCATAAGAAGAACATGGGGCGTAGGCAGGCTTTGAACATGTCGGTGTTGGAGACCCCGGCCTCCACGCGTTCGGTCGCCGGGAACTTGGCCGGCAACAGCATGGCCCCGTAGATCAGCGCCGGCAGGACGATCATGAACAGGCTGACTTGCCAGTTCAGCCCGAGCCCTTCAACCGAGACAAAGCCCAGGTCGAGCCCTCCGCCCACGATTCGGGCGAGGATACCCCCAATGACCAACCCGCCCGGCCACCAGGCATGGAGCACATTCAAGTAGTGCGTCTTATCACGCGGATAAAGCGTAGCCACTAGTGGGTTGATGGCCACTTCGGTGAACCCGTTGCCACAGCCCATCAGGATCGACAGCAACCACAAAAGTGAAAAGGCATTCGACTGTCCCCCGAACGTTTCGGAAGTGCCGTAGCCCATGAGAATGGTTCCCCCCGCCCCGATGATGTGCGAGGCGAAGGCCAGCCACATGATGCGTTTCATTCCCAGCAGGTCGCAGATGAACCCGCCGCCGAGCATGGAGAAGGCCATTCCCAGGAACACGGCCCCTTCCACGGCACCCTTCTGATCTTGGGTCAGCCCGAAATGGTCGCCAAACGGTTGCAGGACATCGCCGCGGATCACAAACGTGAACGCCGATGTGATCAACGCGATGCAACTGAGTACAAACAACCAGCGTGGCCGAACCATAGGTACCTCCCGCGGGGACATCTACAGGGTGTTTATCTTCGCGGCGACAGCCAGCAGAGCTGTCGTGCGATCCATCGGCTCCGCCTGGGCCGATTTTGGAAAGCTAGCAGTATACGTCCTGCGACAGCGAAGGAAACCGTTAAATGCCATGAGCTTGGGCACAAACTCTTCGCAGACACCCGAAACTACGCACTCACCACGAACCCCGTCTTCATCCCAAGAGATGTGCACAGAACGACCGATCCCGGAAGTTCGTGAACTTGGGGAAAACAAGGTCGGCTCGGCGAAAAAGCGGTCTCTGGGCGGCGTAGAAATTCAGGTCGAAGCAGCCGTAAATCGCTGCACGAACCTGGCTTGACGCTAGTCGAAAACCCAACGTACCATGCCCCGCATTTTGGTCCGCCGTGGAAACGTATGTATTGATGATTTCAAAAGATGCGACAAACCGATGCCGCACTCGGGGCCCTCTGAATCTTGACCGAACCCGCTCAGAAACACAGCCGAATGTTGTGGCTCGTGCTGGCGGCTGCGCTGGTGGTCCGCGTGGTGGCCGCCGTGGTGTGGCAACAACAGATCGATCCAGAACCGTTCCGCTTTGGCGACAGCGATTCGTATTGGGTACTGGCTCAGACCATCGTCAACGGCGAACCCTATCAGTACGGTGGGCCGACCGCGCAGGTATTCCGCATGCCTGGCTATCCCTTGTTGCTCGCCGGGTGGATGACGCTGCTGGGTGGAGAACCCAGCGTATTGGCCGTGCGAATGCTAAGTGTATTTCTGGGCACGCTTACGGTGGGATTGGTGTACCTGTTGGGTATGCAAATCTTCAACCGCACCACTGGATTGGTCGCCGCGTTGATCACGGCGTTCTATCCCGGAGCAATCGTCTCCAGTGTGCTGATCCTCAGCGAGCCACCTTTCTGCCTGTTGATGCTGCTGCAATTGATCTTGTTGGTGAAGTGCAGCCGAGCCGAGATGTCGGGGGCCCTGGCGTTCGCATTCCTGGCGGGCATCGCCGGAGGTTGCGCCACGTTGGTTCGCCCCAGTTGGCTGTTATTCAATCCGCTGGTGGCCGCATTCTTGCTGGTTGTCGCTGGCACTGCATCACGAAAGCTGCTGGTTTCGCTCACTCTGATGGTGGCGATGTGCATTCCGCTGGCACCCTGGTGGGTCCGCAATGCACGACTGATTGGGCACTTCGTACCGACGACCCTTCAAGTGGGGGCCAGTCTCTACGACGGCTTAAACCCCGACGCCGACGGTGGCAGCGAAATGTCGTTTGTGCCGAAGTTTCGCGAGACTGTCGAAGCCGAAGAAGTGGGACCCGAAGACGATGTACTGGAGTACCGACTCGACCAACGAATGAAGCAGGCCTCCATCGATTGGGCCAAACAGCATCCGGGGCGAGTGTTGCAGTTGGCCGGCATCAAGTTTCTTCGCCTGTGGAATGTGTGGCCCAACGCAGCCGAATTCGGAGGTTGGCTCCCCCGACTGCTGGTCACGGTGAGTTACGCCCCCCTGCTCATCCTCGGCCTGATCGGCGTGTGGCGTTTCCGCCACCTTGGGTTCGCCTGGATGTTGTGCTGGCTACCCGCGGTGTACTTCACGGCACTGCATGTGGTGTTTGTGAGTTCGTTGCGATACCGCGAACCGGCGATGCTCACTTGGATTGTGCTGGCCGCCGCGGTGATCGTCTCGTGGCGGGGCGACCGACTGCCGTCGCCGGCGAACTCGGACGAGCAACAAACCGTTTAAATCAACCTTTTCCCATGGACTTTACTCCCCGTTAGCCATGCCCTTCGTTCGCCGAACATGGTGGCTTTTTAAATGGACCCTAGCACTGGCGCTGGCCGCCGTGCTGGGCATGGGAGTGTACGTCTATTACCGCGTCGATGAAGAGATCCGCCGGCATGCCGAACGTCTGCTGGCGGCACACTACAGTGACCTGGAAGTACACGTCCGTGCCGCACGTTGGGTCGAAGGTGAGGGGATCGAGATCCACGGCGTGTCAATTCTCGAACCCGGGGCCGCGGGCCCCCAGGGTGAGTTGGTTTACATCGACGAAGTCTTTCTCGACGGCGTGGGCAAGGTAGAAAAGCTGCTTTCCGGCAATGCGAACATCGAACGGATCATCATCCGTCGCCCCACGATCAACGTCACCCATCGTCCGAACGACGCTTGGAGTGCGGGAAACTTGATCCCCCTGCCCCGCCTGGGGGTGCTTCCGCCGGTAGCATCGATCGAAGACGGACGCGTGGTGGTGTTCGACCCTCAGAAGAACCCCACCAGCACCTTCGAACTGCGGCAACTTTATGTGTCAGTCAAGCCTGAGGAAGGCGACATGCCCGACTCAGAACGCGACATCATGATCGAGGGTCGAGCGGTCGGCGATCACTTGCGTTGGATCGAGTTCCAGGGACAAACCGACCGAGAGGCCAACAATTGGCGACTCGATGGCACGACTAACGGCTTAGAGCTTTCCCCCGAGTTGCACAACGCCCTGCCCGGCCAACACGAGGGCTGGATGAACGAACTGGCCGGTCTCCAAGGCCAAGTCGATCTGGAGTTCAAACTCACGCACAAGCCCGACCGTGAACAACCCCTGCAGTTCGTCGTCACCGGTGGGCTTGAACAGGGACGGCTAGCACATACTCGGTTGCCTTATCCTCTTTCCGACGTTCGGGCTCATTGGCGGGCGGACAACGAGGGGCTAAAGGTCGACGGGCTGGTAGCCCGCAACGGGCAAACCACCCTCTGGCTCACCGGTCACAGCGATGGGCTCACCGCAGACAGCCCCGTGAATATCGAAGCCCGTTGCCGACAGATGGTGCTCGACAATCGGCTGCTCGACTCGATGCCCCCAGATTTGCGAGTGCACTGGAACAAATTCCTACCGATGGGGACCGTCGACGTTGATCTGAAGCTCGCCTTCGATGGCACGGCCTGGAAACCGAATCTCCAGGTGCTGTGTCACGATGTCTCGTTCACCTACCACAAGTTTCCTTACCGCCTTCGTCGTGGGACGGGCACACTGCAGTTGGTCGACAAGAAGCTCGATTTCAAATTGATGGCCTATAGTGACACCACCCCAGTACATATCGCTGGTGAATTCCAAAACCCTGGCAAGGACTTCACCGGAAAGGTCACTACCCAAGGCGAAAACCTGCAGATCAACGACAAGCTGCTCACGGCACTGCCTGCAGAAACACGACGGGCAGTCCAAGCCTTGAACCCCCGCGGGACGGTCGACTTCTATGCGGAGGTAGGCAGAACCTCGTCTGCGGAACCTCCTTCAAAATACGTCTGGATCGGCCTGCAGCAATGTGCGGTGAAGCACGACAACTTCCCCTACCCCATTGAAAACATTCGCGGCACGATCGAGGGCGAGAACGACCGGTGGAGGTTCCATAACCTTCAAGGCACCAACGACAGTGGGTTCGTCGCCTGCGACGGCAAGTTCCAAAGCACTGGTCTCGGCAACGAACTTCTGCTGCACTTCGATTGTGAGAAAATCCCTCTCGAGTTTGAACTTCGCGACGCCCTGAATCCCGGTGTGCAGCAACTGTGGACCGACCTGAAACCGCACGGCACCGTCGATATCGATTGCGATCTACGGTACGACACGCACAACAAGAAGCTGAGCGTCACGGCGAAAGTCGATCCCATCCCAGGCACCACCTCGATCGAGCCGACCTACTTCCCCTACCGCATGGATAATCTCCAGGGGACGATGGTCTATCGGGATGGGGATGTCGAACTGCAAAACATCACCGCCGAGCATGGTGCCGTTAAGATGCAAACCGGCGGCAGCTGCGAGGTGAACCCCGACGGGAGTTGGGCCCTTACGCTCGAAGGGCTTTCGGTCGACCGGCTGCAGTTGAACCACGACCTGCATCGTGCACTACCCGTTCGGTTGCGTTCTGCAGTCGATCGGCTCGGCTGGCAGGGGCAACTTTCCATTCGCGATAGCCTGCTGCAACTATCCGGCTCGGGCACGTTGGGAGAATCGGCCAAGTCGCGGTGGCGGATCTATCTCGACACCCACGCCGGCAGCATGAACTCCGGCGTACCCCTGCACAACATCCACGGCGGAGTCACCCTCGAAGGTGCGTTCGACGGAGAACATCTGCGAAGCTGGGGCACGATCAATGTCGACTCAGTGTCGTACGAAGACTTCCAATTCACGGGCGTTACCGGGCCCATCTGGATCGATGACGAGACCGTGCGGCTAGGGGCATTCGCCCAACGCGCCGCGCCCGGACAGCCGCCACCGCATATCAATGCCATGGGCTATGGCGGCTACTTAGCCGCCGATGCATGGGTCACCCTGGAAACAGTGCCGAAATTCTATGTTCGTGCCTCGCTCAACAATGCCGACTTGAACCGATGCGCCGACGAGTTGTTTCGCGGACCGCAGGAACTCAAGGGGGTGGTCTCCGCTGAAGTGAACCTCACCGGGACTGCCGCGGGTACGCACACCTTCCATGGCTCTGGAACCACTTATCTACGCGATGCCGACATTTACGAACTGCCGGTGATGGTCTCGATGCTAAAGCTGCTGAGCATCCGTCAGCCCGACACTACGGCGTTTTCGAAGAGCGACATCAACTTCCGCATCGAAGGCAACCACATCTATTTCGACCGCATCGACTTCAACGGCGACGCGATCAGCCTGTTGGGCAAGGGACAGATGGATATGCAGTCGCGGTTGGATCTCACCTTCCACACGGTTGTGGGTCGGGACGAGTATCGAATCCCCGTGCTGCATGAAATGCTCGGTGAGGCCAGCAAGCAAGTGTTGCTGATCCACGTGCAAGGGACGCTCGACAACCCGGTGACCCGCAAGGAAGCCTTCCCGGGGCTGAACCAGGCACTGCAACAACTCCAAGGAGACATTCCCCCGGCAATGACCCGACGCCCCTGAGCTTCGGGTCGTAACGAATACAACGATCATTCACGTTTGACCAACTTGGCGGCCAAGGTAGCGTTTAAATGGGCCGCCACACCCTGCCCGGCACCTGAGGTTTGTAAGTCCGAGTCACGCAAAAGCCCGATACCAACGTAGGGCGTGTGACAGAGCGTTTGTGCGACCAGCGTTGAGACGAATCGGAGAGATTGCTCCACGACTGGTCGTGACCAACCCCCGGAGGTGTACGATGAGCGTAGGACCAGCCGGAATCGTCGGCAGTTTTGCCGGTACCCAAATGGCGCAGTCCCAGGGACCCGACGTCGAGCGGACTCGGGGTGAACGTGCCAACCAGCAGCGCCAGGTTTCGTCGGAACAACAGGCGGAAAAAGCGGCTGGAATCGGGGCCACCGACGAAGAACAGGCCACCGAAGATCGCGATGCCGACGGCCGTCGTCTGTGGGAAGTAGACGAGCAAGCCGCCAAAGACAAGACCTCGGGTTCTCCTGAGGCCGAGCCCCACGGAGCACGCGACCCCTCGGGCAATTCTGGTTCGCATCTCGACCTGACCGGCTAAACTGGCAGACCTTCTGCCGCGGGCGTATGCCGGTGCATCTCGCATAAAGGGTTCTCGTGCCCAAGCTAATCGCCGTTCGCCTTGCCGCGGCGATATTTCTCGTTCCCGCCAGGAATTGCTTTACTCGCGACACGGCTGACGATACGTTAGTCGCTTAAATGTTTTACGCGCCGGCGCGGAGAACCCGGTGCGAGCGGGTTTCTCAACGTTCTAAATACACCACCCGCAGAGATTGGTTTGCCGGTATTTGCGGTGGCTCGAGTGGGTTCAATCCCTGAGGCGGAGGGCGAGTTCGATGGTACGTCGGTCAGCGATTATTTGGGCAGTCTTGTTTTCAGTCTTTCTTGCCCTGCCATCGGTTTCCTTAATGGCGCAAGAAGTTGAGATGGGATTGGTCGTATCCGAAGACCCACCAACTCCGGTCAACGCTGGAAATAACGCCTGGCTCCTGACGTCATCGGCCCTGGTGTTAATGATGACCGCTCCCGGGCTGGCCTTGTTTTACAGCGGACTGGTTCGAAAGAAGAACGTGCTGAGCGTGATGATGCAGTGCTTCTTCCTCATGGGGCTGATGACCGTGCTGTGGGCTCTTTATGGGTTCTCTCTGGCATTCTCCACCAGTCCGGCAGGCTGGGAAGCGTGGATTGGCGGCACCGAGAACATGTTCATGCGCGGGGTTCAACCGTACTTCGACGAAAGCACGGGCAGTTCCGTGGTTCCTATGTTCGACGAAGACTTAGGAATTCCGACGCTCTCCTTCATGGTGTTTCAGGGGATGTTCTTCATCATCACCCCGGCACTCATCTGCGGGGCGTTTGCCGAGCGAATGAAATTTAGCGCGATGGTGATCTTCACCATTGTGTGGGGCACGGTGGTCTACTGCCCATTGGCCCACTGGGTGTGGGGCGGTGGCTTCATGGTTCACAACGGTGACTATTCGCAAGAACTGGGATTTGACACCGGTGCGATTGACTTCGCCGGTGGAACGGTGGTGCACATTAGCTCGGGTGTGTCGGCGTTGGTCTGTGCCTTGGTGCTCGGTTCTCGCCTCGGATTTCGCTCGGAACCGATGCCTCCGCATAACCTGACCTACACGGTGGTGGGCGCCGCCATGCTGTGGGTTGGGTGGTTCGGCTTCAACGCCGGAAGTGCTTTGGCCGCCAATGGCGTCGCCTCCAATGCTTTTGTCACCACGCACTTCGCCGCAGCCGCGGGCACCTTGGCCTGGGCCGGTATGGAGTGGATTCTACGGGGCAAACCCACGGTGTTGGGCGCTTGCTCGGGTGCCATCGCAGGACTTGTCTGCATCACTCCTGCGGCTGGATTTGTGCTGCCGATGCCGGCCATCGGCATGGGGGCCGCAGCCGGGGTTTTGTGCTTCCTGGCCTGCACCACGCTCAAGACAAAACTCGGTTACGACGATTCGCTGGATGCCTTTGGCGTGCATGGAGTTGGGGGCACGCTGGGAGCCATTCTTACGGGCATTTTTGCCACGCAAGCTGTGGCCGGTGGTGAACGTCTGGGACTGGCTGAAAATGGGGATGTTTTCGGTGGTCAGGTGGCCGCAACTGTGGTCACTTGGGTTTTCGCCGCCGTAGCGAGCTATATCATTCTAAAGGTCATAGACCTGACAATCGGGCTACGTGTTTCGCAGGCGGACGAAATCGACGGCCTGGATCAAAGCCAGCACGGTGAAGAGGGTTACATCTTTATCTAGCAGGCATTTACGAGGTAAAGTAGAGATAGTTCGTCAGCGTTCCCCTTGGCCAGCCAAGGGGCGCAGGCTAACGGCAAGGAGTTTTCCATGAAGAAGATCGAGGCCATTGTCCGCCACTTTAAACTGGAGGACCTGAAGAACGCTCTCACCGAGCAAGACATCCACGGTATGACCATTACCGAGGTCAAAGGCTATGGACGTCAGAAGGGGCACACCGAGATGTACCGTGGGGTCGAGTACAAGGTGGATTTCATCCCTAAGGTGAAGCTCGAACTGATTGTCTCCGACGCCGACGAAAAGAAGGCAATCGATACGATTCTGCGCACTGCTCAAACTGGGCAAATCGGCGATGGAAAAATCTTCGTCAGCGATCTAGGCGAAGCCATCCGCATTCGAACCGGCGAACGCGGCGAAGAGGCCGTGTAGCAGTAACATTCTCGTGCCCACGCTCGGGCCGCCAATGATTCTGCGCGGTCCGTGCGACTCCGGGCCTCTGCATACACGCCACGATTCCCGTCTTACGTTGTATATCCTATGTCGACCAATGGTGGACCCCGCGAAATTGTCTTAGTTGCGCGCCGCGAACTAGCCGACGGCCGCGAAAAACTTGCCGGACGACTCCGCGACGGAGTGCCGGGGGTCCAAATCTCACGAAGCCTCACATCTTTGTACGACAAGGTGTGCTTGAAAATCTTCCACCAGGCGATGGAAGATTTGGGCGAGACCGGCCCCAACGGTCTTATCCACGAAATGGCCCTGATTGCCGATGGCAGCTTCGGTCGCAGCGAACTGGCGCCGTTCTCCGACGCCGACATGAAGTTGCTACACACGCCCGTTGCAGAGGGCCGGATGTTACCTCTCTCGCAAAGGCTCATCCAAGACTTCTGCGACGTGGGACTGGCCAGCGGAATTACCTGCCATACGGTCGCCTCGGCTTGTGCCAGTGCGGTGGAAGATGTTCGCTCGTGCTGTGCTCTGCTGGATGCTCGATTGGTGGAGGGCAACGAAGCACTGTTCCAGCAGTTCGATGCGAAATTCCAAGCACTGATTAAGCGCCGGCACCGAGTGTCAATCAACGAACTCGCCGAATCGCGGCAGAAAGAATGCACGCGCTACGGCGAGACGGTCTATCTCATCCAGCCGAATGTCAAACGCTCGCCGGGGGCACTGCGCGACGTACAGCTCCTGCGATGGATCGGTCGTCTGAAATACGGCACACGAGACCTGGAAGGTCTTCGCCTGCAGGGCCACTTGCCACAAACCGACTACCACGCCATTCGCGATGCCGTGCAGTTTCTGTTGTGGATTCGCAATGCGTTGCACTTCAACGCTGGCCGTGGCGACGACGACCTGACGCATGCCAACCAGGTGCGGTTGGCCGAAGACTACGGCTACGAAGAAACTCCCGGCATGCTGCCCGCCGAGCATCTAATGCGGGAGTACTTCCTACACACGAACGAAATGAGCCGGTTGCTGAGTCGCTTTTCGGAAACGGCACTTAGCCTCCGCCGTCGCCCTCATTGGGTGCAAATGCTCGTAGGGCACCGGCTCGACGGCGACTTTCGCGAAGGACGGGGGCTCATCACCAGTACACGTCGCGGACTATCCCGGGTCACTTCCCGGCTCGACTCGGCGATCGATCTATTCAACCTGGCCAGCTTGACGAATTCTCGCGTCGATCACGACACCTGCGAGGCCATTCGTCTGGCGCTGCCGACGATGGATAATTCTCTGACTCCCAAAGCTCGAGAGAAATTCCTTTCGCTCCTGGGACGCAGGCAGCGCTTAGGCGAATTGCTGCGGTCGATGCACGAGATCGGCCTGCTCGAGCTAGTGATTCCCGAGTTCGAGCACGCTCGCTCGCTGATGCAATTCAACGAAGTTCACAAGTACACGGTAGACGAGCATTCGATTCGGGCAGTCGAAGGTGCGATCTACTTTTCAACAGTCGATGAGATGAATCACGACCTGCGCGCCGAGGTCGATGTCGGCGAAGCCTGTCGATCGATCGAACGGGTGTGGCTATTGCACCTGGCGTTGTTGATTCACGACCTAGGCAAAGGCTTTGACGAAGATCATTGCATCGTGGGCGAGCGACTTGCTCGCGACATCGCCGGACGTTTGCAACTGAAAGAGTCGGACTCAGAAACCTTGCAGTTCCTGGTTCGCCATCATCTGCGCATGTCGTACATCGCTTTGAATCTCGACATTCACGACGAAAAGCTATTGAAGGATTTCGTTGCCGAAGTTGGCTCAGGCGAAGTGCTAACGTTGCTGTTCGTGCTCACGGCCTCCGACTTTACGGCCGTGGGTCCTCGCAGTTGGAATAACTGGCGGGCCGGCATGTTGAGTAATTTGTACAACAACGCCATGCCATACTTCACGGGCGAAACCGCTCCTGCCTCGGGTGCGCAACTGCAACGTAAGCGAGAAAAGGCGATCTCGCTTCTTCCCGCCAATGAGCGACAGGAAGTCGCCTGGCACACCACACAGATCAATGCCCTCTCAGACAGTTACGTGATCAATCACGAACCGCAAACGATCGTCGACTTGCTGGTGAATCTGAAGCACCTTCCGCCGGAAGAACTTCAAGTCGAGGGGCACTTCGACGAACATAGCCAAACCGTGCGTTACTCGGTGGCAACCAACGAATCGCTCACGCCGGGTGCCTTCCACAAGATGGCCGGTGCACTCACGGCCTCGGGGATGGAGATTCTTTCGGCCGAGATTAATACTTTGGCCGACGGGCAAATCTACGATCGCTACATGGTCATCGATCCCCAGTACCCCAATGGTCCGCCCGACTGGCGCATCGCCAAAGTTTGCGAGGCATTGCGAACCGCATTGCTAACCACGCAAGGCGATTCGCCCACCTTCCGCAGCTTGTGGCAAGATCAAAAGGCCGATTCGTTCGCACGACTGGCCCGGGTTGAAACAACCGTTTCTCTCGACAACAAAACGTCGGAAAACTACACCATCATCGAGATCCGCACGCCCGACTGCTCGGGACTCCTGTTCACCATCACACGCACCATCTTCGAGTTGAATCTTTCGGTGGTAATCGCGAAGGTCACCACAGGTACGAAGAGCATCGTCGACACGTTCTACGTGACCGACTCAGACAACCAGAAGGTTGTCGACGAAGGCCGGCTGCAGGAAATTCACGACCGACTCATTTCCGAGATCGATAAACTCCGGCCTCACTAAGACGGATCTAAACGCAGATAAGGGCACCTACTGCTCGATCCGCCTCCATAAGAACCGGCAGCCAATTCGATATGCCGCACGGCTGTCGATCGTCACCGCTTCCACCCGAACGACTTCGGCCGAAATCAGCTTGCCCGTGGTCGGTTCACCAAAGGCCAACATCAGGCACTTCGTCTTCGGCTCTTGGTCCAGCAAGAAACTCAGCCCGTACGGCGACAAATCGAGGCAACGAACTTGCTGAAAGTCGTTCGCCCCGGGCACCTCACCCTCGGTAAGAAATGCCACGTGCTGTTGGCACAGAAAGACCCGACGGTCGGCTGATCGGCGATCACTCTCCCACGGCAGAATCGCAGGCTGCCCCATCGCTTGGGGCCAATCTCCTGATGCCGAATCGTGAGAAGCCATCGATGAGAGGGTTCCGCTTTCCGAGGGGCAAGGCGACACGGCCCGCTCCGGATGCGAGAGCCGTTCTATCTCAATAAATAGGTCACAAACGGCACCCTGGCAAAACGGTCGCTTCGCTGGTAGCGATTGCATGAAATCTGCGTCAGACCATCCGACACGAATATAGAAACCTAGCGAAACCCATCCGAATAGCTGTGTCGAATGCGATAAGTATCGACGACATGCCGCACTTGGCCGTGCTCGGCTGCCATGGGAGCTTCTCGCTGCACCAGCAGGCCTATCTGTCGACATTCCTGCTCGAACGTGCGCGCCGTACTGCGTGATGGGTCGGTGATGATCGCTTCGCCCTCAGGCTTAAGCGTTTGGGCCACCGCCGCGGCCAAAAGCTTGGGGTAGTGCCCCTCGTACAGCACGTCGCCGCCGATCACCAAGTCGAAGCTCTTCAAGTCTGCAGGAAACTCGCGCCAATCGACCATCCGCGTGTGAACCCCGGTGAGTTGATTGTGCCAGGCGTTCAACTCGATGAACTCAAGACACTCCGAGTAGTAATCGCTCACGGTCACCTCGAACCCCACGGCCGCAGCCACTAGCGAGGGCAAACCGCAACCGGCACCCAACTCAATGCACCGCCGGCCGTTTCCCGCGAGTTCCGCTACTCGCGTGGCAAGCAGCACCGCCGAGGGCCAGATTTCGGCCCAATAGGGCAACCTCTCGTCGTGCTCGAAAGCCTCCTCGTCGATCAGGTCATCGGCCGACTTGGGCCGCAGAATGCGATACTCCCTGCCCGCCACCAGGGCCGTGTCGTTGATTACATCGAAGCGTCGGCTCAGATCCGCCTCGAGTTGTTCCCAATCGCGTTGCTGCTTCATATCCGCAATCTTTGCACAATTCCTACGGTCAAAGTCGGTCCATGATGAGAAACGCCCCGCAATTTCACGCCACCGCATGAAGCCGGCTGGGAAGGACCCTATAATGGCCCGCATGTAATTTCCACGATGGCCCGGTCGGAATTCTACATGCTCCGGTTGCTCGCGATAAGAACGCTCGGCACACTGCTCACGGTCGTTGTGACGACCGCCGCGCTCGTGGTATCGCCCGCTGCAGAGGCCGCAACCAAGCAAACGATTCTCGTCTTACGCGAAACCAACGGGCAACTCACCGCCTGGTCTTCGCTGCCGGCCGGGGGTCAAAAGGTGCCAAGCGTAACCCGCCGGGGAAAGCCAGTCGTCGTACACTTGAGCGTTCTCCCGGGCGATGAACCGTTGCGGCGCGTGCAGTCGTTTCGCTACGAAGCGTGGGGAAACGAGATCCCCATCCCCGAGGGTTACGCCACGCGAGGACGCACAATCCGTGAAGGATTCGCCGCCTTCTGGGAACCAACCAGCAGTTCTGAACGCTATGCGGTGAGGTTCGAAACCAATCGCCTGATTGAAGAGCAACCGGTCCTCCGCCAGGCGACTTTGCGGCGAGGATACGGGGGTTACTACCTCACGTTTCAAGATGGTCTGCTGCCGCCGGTGGTGTGTCGAGCGAAAACCATTCCCGAGTTGATGCTCGAATTCCCCACCGCCTATCAAGCTATCGAAGAAGCTGCCCACCAATGTTCGCTTGTAGGATTGTCTTTAGTGCCCGAGAGCCGGTTCAGCCCCATAGTCATCCGCGACGTGATGGGGGACAAGGTGGAAGAGGACATTCCTCCCCCACAGATTTCCGACTGGGAAAACCTCGTCAAACAACTGGACGACGACCGTTACGATCGACGGGTCGCCGCTTCTGATGCACTGATGGCCATCGGCGTCGATGTGGTCAAGTTCCTCGCCGAATTAGACCCGCGGCAGCTCACACTGGAACAACGCTCGCGAATTCGCTACATCGTTCGCACGTTTACGGTTGAATCGCCTCCCGAGCCAGAGCCTCTCCCCAGGGCAGAAGTCCGCAAGCTGCAACAAGAACTTCCTCCCGATTGGTTGGCCCACCTGTTGATGTCTTCCGAAGAATCCATCCGCACCTGGGCCGTCGACAAACTGCATCGACAGAGTATCCTGATCGATCTCTCGCCCCAGGCTTCGCGTACCGAGCGACGCGAACTGTACCGCGATTTGCTCGAACGACTCTCCAACTGAATACCCCCGCCCATGCTGATTTTCGATGCACATCTCGATCTGTCGATGAACGCCCTGCAATGGAATCGCGACCTGACAGAATCTCTGGAAACCATTCGCAAGCTGGAAGAAGGCAAAACCGACAAGCCCGACCGTGGGCTGGGCGTGGTTTCCCTACCGGAAATGCGGCGAGGGCACATCGGGCTTTGCGTGGCGACGCTCATCGCCCGTTATGTCAAACCCGGCAGTGCGTTGCCCGGTTGCAACAGCCCCGAAATCGCCTGGGCACACACCCAAGGGCAACTGGCCTGGTATCGGGCCATGGAAGAGGCCGGTGAGATGACGGCCATCGTCGATCTCGATTCCTTAAACCGCCACGTTGAGACTTGGCAACAAGCCATCAACTCGGCAGACGCGGAAGCGGCCACCGCAAAGCTACCCGTCGGGTATCTCTTGAGCCTGGAGGGGGCCGACTCGATCCTCACGCCAGCCCACTTGGAACGAGCTTACGAGGCGGGACTCCGCGCCATCGGGCCGGCCCATTACGGACCCGGCACGTATGCCCAGGGTACCCATGCTACCGGTGGGCTTGGATCTGCGGGACGTGAACTCCTTGCCGAAATCGAACGGTTGGGCATGATTCTCGACGCCACACATCTCTGCGACGATAGCTTTACCGAAGCGATGGATCTCTTCGGCGGGCGCGTGTGGGCCAGCCATTCCAACTGTCGAGCACTTGTCCCCGAAGAGCGGCAGTTCAGCGACGAACAGTTGCGTCTGCTCATCGAACGGGGAGCGGTCATCGGGGGGGCGCTCGACGCCTGGATGCTGGTGCCGAACTGGGAACGCGGAAAAACCACGCCCGAGGAAACCGGCGTGAAGCTCGATCACATGCTCGACCACATCGACCACGTTTGCCAACTGGCGGGGAACGCCCGCCACGCGGCCATTGGAACCGATCTCGATGGCGGATTCGGTCGCGAACAGTGCCCTATGGACTTAAGCAGTATCGCCGATCTACAGCGAATCCCCGCGATGCTCGAAAAGCGGGGTTATTCCGCAAAAGACATCGAGCAAATCACCTCCGGCAACTGGCTGCGGTTCCTGCGGGAAGCATGGTCCGCATAGTCGATCGTCGCGTCTACTTCGCAGCTGCTGCCTGTTGTGGGTGAACCTCACCGGAGCGTTGCCGCAGGGCCCACCAGCGGTGCCCGCCGATCACGACGATGAAAAACATTGCACAGCCGTAGAAGTTGTTGTTGTCGTGAAAAGCCTCAACCGCCCGGCGAAGTTCTTCCGTGTTCGATACTGCGCCGAAAGAGAACACCCGGCACAGCGTAAAGAACACTTCCCACATGAAGGCTTCCAGAATCACATCCAGCACGACGTACACGTGCAGCAATAGATCGATGCGGTTGGCGAAGTAGTTGTGACGCCTTCCCCATTGAATCAAGAGTGTCATTAGCCCGGCGACTAAAAGCCCGATCACGACGAACCCCACCCGCGACGGCCACGCCCGCCAGATCCAGAATGCCCCAAGGTACAAGGGAATCATGAGTAGGCTGATGATCCAGTTTCGCATTGGGATTCGCTTGGGTAGGTAGGATCGGTTCCAAGAGTCGGTGCGACATGATTTTGAGTTGGGTGTGGGATAGATTTTACACCACACAATCATTTCGGCTTCGCAGGCATCCTCGAAACTGCAAGGCAGATGATCCCGCCCACTGCCAAAACTGCCGACAGGCCCTGATAAGTTCTGGTTGCGCTACTACTATTCAGATGAAAGGCCGGTAAGTCGAAGCGAAAACTGCCGATCTGGAACCATACGGAGTGTGTGATCACATCTTTGTAAGGCTCTTCCTCAATCAACAGTGTGCAAGCAAATGCTGCTGCCGCGAGTATAAGTAAAATCATTCCGGCTAATTTTATCACTGTACATGTAGGAGTTTCGGGAGTGTCGTCATAGCACGGGCATGAGGTTAATCCCTAATCGCCTTCTCCCTAGTGAGCGACGCCACAAACATTGTTCCACCGATCGTCGCGGTAACAACAGAAAGTATGAGCAAGGCAAAGCAAGTCCAGCCCTCATTGAGCTGAAGTACCTTCCCATTCACCTCAATCGCTGGATCAAACACGCCAATGCCTGTGAATGGCGACTCTAGGGCGGAGTAGAGAAAATTACCGCCAATCGCCCCGGCGATTAGTCCTACGATCACCAACACCACGCCGATCAGTGCCCCCATCGTGGATCGTATCACTGCACTCTGCGAGAGTTACCCCACACTCCGCTCGTAAGCCTCGACCAACGCTGTCGGCAGCGAGATTGGCCGTTTACGCTCAAGCCCAAAGAAACAACCTTCCTGCTTGGCCACCGCGGCCGTGGTGTCGCCGGTGGTGAACTCGGCCGCCAGGAAATAGCGTGCTTTACCGACCGACTCGACCCACATTCGGCCTTCGACTTCATCGTGGATGGTCAGCGGCCGCTTGTATTGAATCTCGGTCTTGATAATCGCCGGGCCGATTCCGGATTGGATCTGCGCGGAGATCGGCAGGTGAGCCGCCAGAATGGCCAGCCGCATATCTTCCAGCCAGCGGATGTAAACGATGTTGCTGACGATGCCGGCGAAGTCGATGTCGTAGGTCTTTACGTCGAACGACAACTCAACTTCAAGGGCACGTCTCGCTCTCTGCTCGCCCATGCTGCCGGCTCCTGAACGCTGTGGCTTTCGGTTAATTCGCTAGTTCGCAGAGGTTTCAACCACCTCGAAATGCGGCTCGATGATCGATGTCCACAACTCGTAGCCCTTGGCGTTTAAATGGAGTCCGTCGCCAATGAACAGCGAAGGGTCCGGCTTTCCGTCGGAGCCCAACATCGGTTGGAAGATATTGATGTAACCCAGGTAGTCGTGCTCTTCACAGTAGGCTTCAATCTGCTTGTTTGCTTCGCTCATCTTATCAACCAGCTTCCAGCGACTGATGCTGGGCTTGATGGCGATAAAGAACAGTTGCGTCTCGGGCAGATTCTTGTGAACGATACCGGCAAACGTTTCGAAGTCGCCAACCACTTCTTCGACCGACTTTCCGGAGTCGATATCGTTATCGCCGGCATAGAGAAAAATCATTCGCGGCTTGTACTTCAGCACAATTCGCTCAGCGAAGTGAATCGAATCGGAGATGTGCGACCCACCGAATCCCCGGTTGATCGCGCCAAGCTCTGGGAAGGATTTATCGAGATTCCAGAAACGAATGCTCGAACTTCCGACGAACAGAATGCCCCCTTCGGCCGGCGGGTTCTCGCGATCCTTCTCCTCGAACTTCTGAATCGCTTGCTCGAAGCGGTTTTCGGCAGAGACTCCGCAAGCGCTACATAGCACCACGGCACAGGCAAGAATCAACAGGCGACATCGGGGCATCGGCACTTCCCAGGTAAGAGCAGCGGCGGTCGTCACTCTCGAGCGTCGAGAGCGGGACCGTCAATTATGCTCACCCGGCAATGCAGGGTCCAGGATGCGGCCGATCTTCAGGCCCACCGGCCCAAGCGCGGAAATCGATTTAGGGGCGAAGTGACCACCGCTTACTTCACGTTCAGCCCTGGAGGAGGCTCCGGACCCGCGGCGCGACGGGCGGTTTTGGCCTCGTCACCCAAGTATTCTTCAGTAAAGCGGGTTACGTAGTGCATCAGGCTCGCTTCGCCTTGGGAGCCATGCACCCGTTTGTCGAGGTCCATCCGCTGTGAAAGGATCAGCCCCTTTTCAATATCGAACCGCACGGTGCCTGCGGTCTCGCGCTGCACGAGTTGGGCTTCGATCACCGGATCGTGAATCGGGGTGAGAATCTGCGTGGCGACCGAGATCTTGGCCACCCCGTTGCTGACCTCTTCCAGCTTGAACCGCTGTTGGGTCTTCACTTCTTTCACGCGACCGTCTTGATGGGCCACTTTCTCGGTGTAGGGCTGCTTCCAAACGTCGCCTACGGCCACTTCGTCCTCAGGCAGCAGAATCGTAATCTGACCGGAGGACGGTTGAGGGCGGTCGCGTTTCTCTTCGCGTTTGACCGTTTCGCCCCTTGAGTTGATGGTGATCTCTGAAAGCGGAACGCCAACGTCTTCGGCCACCTGCTCGAAACCCACCGGCGGCTTCTTGTCGGTCTCGCTATTGTAGCGCACCTCTTGGCGACCGGTCAGCTTTTGCAGCATGTCGACACTGGAAACCAAGTGAGTGAACGTGGCATTGCCATCGTCGTTGACCTTGGTGACTTCCCACACTTTGATCGACTTGGTCTTGGTTTCAGCCGTTTGCGTGGTACCGGCCACTGTGTTGCGAACCGTGGCCAGGTGCTCGACCTCCCAGCGGAATGTTTCGCCCGGGGCAAACTTGTACCGCAACAGGTACTTTTGCTTGGCCTCGTCGTCGGCCGCGGCAGACAACACGGGTAGAAGACAGAGTGCGGCTAAGAACGCGCCACAAGATTTGCTGAGGGGAGGGATGCTCATCCTGCTCGCTTCCTTTCGAGGCTGGATGTGAGGAATGATGTGTAAGCTACTGCTGGGCGTCACGCGAAATCACGCGTCCACCCCAGCCGAGTTTCTCACGGAGTGTGCGGTAGTAGTTGTGTCCTTCGACATCGATCAGTTTGAACGAGGTGGGGGCTCGCACCACCGAGACCTGATCGGCGGGCAGCATCGTGCCGAACTCCCGCCCATCGACCACGACGGCTGCGTTGCCTTCGCTGCTGGCCATCTCCAACCGGTACTCCCAATCGGCCGAATCCACCACCGGACGATTCGTCAGGGTGTGGGGGCTGATGGGCGAAATCACAAACGCCTGCAGGCTCTTGCGTAAGATCGGTCCACCGGCCGAAAGGCTATGGGCTGTCGACCCCACCGGGGTGCTGATGATCAGGCCGTCGCAACTATAGGTAGTGACCAATTTCGCGTCAACGTAGAGATTTACGTCGAGAATACTAAAGGGAGCCCCGGCCCGAATGACCGTCTCGTTCAGCCCCAAATGCTCTGCAATCACCTTGCCGCCGCGGTACAAGCGGCACTCGAACATCAAATGATCAACTACCTTGAGCTTGCCGTTCTGCAGCGACGGTAGCACCGCATGCAGTTCGTCGGGCGAAAGGTCGGCCAGGAAACCCAACTTCCCCAGGTTCACGCCGATCAGCGGTCGTTGCTCATAACCCATCTGCCCCACGGCCCGCAGGATCGAACCGTCGCCCCCGAGAACCACCACCAGGTCGGCTTCGATACCGGAGAGTTCTTGGGAAAACTCCAGGTCCCAAACGACGATGTCGGCGTACTGCTCGATGATTTCCCGGATGCGATCAGCGCTGGCCGTGACATTGGGGCGATCGCCCGAGCCGAGCACAATGACTTTAAGTCGGCGGTCCTGAGCGGACTTCGATGCTTTTGAGGGGGGAACCATGCAATGATGATAGGGGCTCGAGCCTGGGACAGGCAAGCTAGCTCACCTGGCGGTGCTTGGTTCCCTTGAGCGCTAGATTCCGCTCAGCCATCTCGAGGGCGGAGGTGACAATCCCCTCAACATCGAGCCCCAGGTCGGCCAGCAACTCGCCCCGCTCGCCGTGTTCGACGAAGTGATCGGGGATGCCCAATCGCTTGATGCCACGGGTATCGAGCCCAGCCTCGACGGCGGCCTCAAGCACTGCGCTACCGAATCCGCCCATCAATGCGGCTTCTTCCACAGTGAGCACGAAGGGCGAATTCTCGATCAGCGGGAGCAAGGTCTCCTTATCGAGCGGCTTCACAAAGCGAGCGTTGACCACCCCGACGTTGATTCCCTGTCGGGCCAGTTTCTGGGCAGCTTCCACGCACGTAGGCAGCAGCGTTCCGCAAGCCACGATGGTTCCGTCTTCGCCATGGGTGATAACTTCAGAACGTCCCAACTCGATGGGGGCCACGTCGCGCTCGACGGTTGCGGCGGCCGTCTTCGGATACCGCATCGAACATGGGCTGTCATGCGACAGGGCGAACTCCAGCATCCGCGGCAAGTCGGCCGCATCGCCGGGGGCCATGACGACCATATTCGGAAACAACCGCATGTAACCCAGGTCGAACATACCGTGGTGCGTGGGACCATCGGGCCCCGTCAAACCGGCACGATCGAGCATGAACGTCACCGGCAAGTTCTGCAGAGCGACTTCCTGGAACACCTGATCGAAACTTCGTTGCAGGAAGGTGCTGTAGATATCCACGATCGGTCGCATGCCCACCTTGGCCTGCCCCGCGGCAAACGCCACAGCGTGCGACTCGCAAATGCCGGTATCGAAGAATCGCTCGGGAATCTCCTCCCGAATGGCTTCCAGGTTGTTGCCCTGACACATGGCGGCCGTCATCACGGTGACCCGAGGGTCGGCCAGCATCCGTTCGCGAATCGACGCACTAGCCACATTCGTGTAGGCCTGGGTCGAACTCTTCTTGATCGAGATGATGCCGTCGGCGTCGTGCTCGAATTGTGGAGGCGTATGGAAGAACACCGGATCTTCCGCCGCCGGCTTGAAGCCGTGCCCCTTCTCGGTGACCACATGTAGCAATACCGGGCCGTCGGCGTCTTTGACCAACTCCAGATACTTGCGCAACTGTGCGATGTTATGTCCGTCGACCGGACCGATGTAGCGAATGCCCAACTCTTCGAACAGCATGCCGCCGAAGAGCCCCGCTTTCACCGACGCTTTGGCATGTTGTAGCCAACGCTCGACGGGGTCGCCCAGCACCGGCAGGTTGTGCAGAACCTTTTGGACCTCGGTCTTGAGCCCCGTGTACATCGGGTTCACACGCAGCCGATCGAGATAAGCGGCCACACCGCCGACGCGAGGGCAGATCGACATCTTATTGTCGTTCAGCACGATCAAGAAACGCTTGTTGAGTTCGGCGGCGTTGTTCAAGGCTTCGAATACGATGCCCGAGGGGAACGCGCCATCGCCGATCACCGCCACGCTGTGCCGGTCTTCGTTGCCGGGCATTAAGTCGTCGCCTGCCTTCAGCCCCAGTGCGGTCGACACACTGCAGCCGGCGTGGCCGGTCATAAACAGGTCGTACTCGCTCTCGCGCGGATTGGGGTAACCCATCAACCCGCCCTTGGTGCGCATGGTGCCGAATTCGTGGAACCGGCCCGTAATCATCTTGTGTGGATAGATCTGGTGCCCGGTATCCCAAATCAGGCGATCGCGGCTGAAGTCGAACGAGGTGTGCAAAGCAAGGCACAACTCGACCACACCCAGGTTCGATGCGAAGTGGGCCGTGCGGCTGTTCACCAATTCGCACAGCGAGTGCCGCATCTCTGCAGCCAACTGATCGAGTTCTTCGATGCTGAGCGACTGTAGGTCGTGCGGTGAGTCGATTTGCGAGAGCAACGACTTCATCAACGATCCCTTTCCAACACATAACGAGCCAGGTCCGCCAATGTCCGCCCGTCGGCTCCGAACGGGGCAACCACATCCACGGCCTCGTCGATCAATCGACGAGCCCTCTTCCGGCTCTCCTCCACTCCTAATAGTGCGGGAAAGGTCATCTTTCCGCGCTCCGAGTCTTTGCCGACTCGTTTGCCGACGGTGCCTTCTTCTCCCTGCACATCAAGCAGGTCGTCGGTGATTTGGAACGCCAAGCCCAGCTTTTCGCCATAGCTGGCCAAAGCGTCGTGGGTTGTCTGGTCGGCTTCGGCGATCAGGGCCCCCAATTCTAACGATACCGAGAGCAATGCGCCCGTCTTTCGCCGATGAATCGAGTGTAGTTGATCGAGGTGACCTTCGCACTTTTCACCCTGCAAATCGTCGACTTGCCCGCCAACCATTCCTGAGGGGCCAGCCGCCCCCGCCAGACGGGCCGTGCAACGAGCGGCGACCTCCGCAGGCTTCACATCGCTGGCCATGACCTCAAAGGCCCGGGTGAGCAGTGCGTCGCCGGCCAGAATTGCCATCGCTTCGCCATATACCTTGTGATTCGTTGGTTTTCCTCGGCGGAGATCGTCGTCGTCCATCGCCGGCAAATCGTCGTGGATCAACGAATACGTGTGCACCATTTCCACCGCACACGCCGCTGGCAACGCAGCCTCGGGCGAACCACCTGCGGCCTTAGCTGCCAGTAACACCAGCACCGATCGCAAACGTTTTCCATCGGCCAACAGGCTGTAGCGCATCGCCTCTCGCAACGTCTCGGGCCACCCATCGGCGGGCGCCGTGTATTTGTCGAGAGCCGCGTCGATCGTTCGGCGAAGTGAGCCCAGCGATTCAGCGAGCGATGGAGCCGTCTGGACCATAAACCGTGAAAACCCTGTGCGGCGCAACGTGAAGAGCCAATATGGATTTTAGAAGAGCGATCCCGAGTCGTCCATCGGCCCGAGGTCGTCGTTCGCCTTGCGAGTGGCCTTTTTCTTGGCTTTGGTTGCCGCGCGGCGACGCGACGTGCGCGGTTGTTCCTGTTGGGCAAGTTCCAACGAAGCTTCGTCGTCGAACGGTTCGCACTCTGCCTCGTCGTCGGCATTCACCCGCGTGAGTAGCTCAATCTTCCGCTCGGCCCGTTGCAGCATGGCATAGCAGTTCCGCAGCAGCTTCACGCCTTCTTCATAGCGCGTCATCGCGTCGGTCAGGCCGATCTGCCCTTCTTCCAAGTCGTTGACGATGGCCTCCAGTTTTTCGAGGGCATCTTCGAAGTCGACACTTTCCTCTTCGCTGCCTTGCTTCGGACGAATCTTTCCCACACTCAAGCTCCCAGACTGCAAACGAGCGAGGGTGAGATTCCCCCGCCTCCTGATATCCTCGCAAATCCCGATTTACTTTGCAATGCAAAGCATCCAAAAATTCCTAGCAATTCGGCGGTCGATGTGCTGAGCCCCCAGTGGAGCCGGCACCGCAAGTCGGCCGAAAATAGCGTTGTGCATCACTCGCCTTCCGGCCGAACCTCGTCCACCACGCTACGAACCCCACCGTGGGCGAGTTGAGTGATCAACTTTTGTCCCGACGACAGTTCTTCGGCATCGCGCACCACCCGATCATCTTCAGCAACTCGTGTGATGCTGTACCCACGCTCGAGCACCGCCTTGGGGCTCAGTGATTCCAATTGGCTGCTGATCGCATCCAAGCGCCCCTCACTGTATTTCGCGCGATGCCGGATGGCCCGAGAAGCGCGGGAGGCAAGTTCATCGAGTCGTTGTGCCATATCGTGAACGCGTTGTGCAGGTCGACGAAACACCCGACTACTCGCCAAGGCGTCGAGACGCGATCGAGCCAGCGATGCGCGCCCGCGTAGCGCCGCCACCAGGGCCCGTTGATGTCTTGCGAGTAGTTGTTCCAGATCGTCGGAAGAAGGCACCACGCGTTCCGCTGCTTCGCTCGGTGTAAGTGCCCGAACGTCGGCCACCAAGTCGGCCAGCGTAACGTCGATCTCGTGGCCCACAGCCGAAACCACCGGCAGCCGCGAAGCAAAGATCGCACGCACGACTGGCTCTTCGTTGAACGCCCATAAGTCTTCGAGGCTCCCACCGCCACGCCCCACTACCAGGCAATCGATCTGTGGATGACTTAACCGATTGGCCAACTCAATTCCTTCGGCAATCTCTTTGGCTGAGCCTTCCCCCTGTACGCGAACTGGAATGACCACCACGTTGGCCCCTCGCCAGCGACGACGCAGCACTTCGAGAAAGTCGCGAATCGCAGCCCCCGTAGGGCTAGTCACTACAGCCACCGTGCGTGGAAATCGCGGTAGTGACTTTTTATGCGCGGGGTCAAACAGCCCCTCAGCTTCGAGCTTGGCCTTGAGTTGTCGCAGGGCCAGTTCGAGAGCCCCCATCCCTCGCGGCTCGATTTGCTCGACGACTAACTGGTAACTTCCCCGCGGGGCATACACATCGAGATGACCATGGCACACAACTTCCAAGCCATCGTGCAGGTCAAATCGCACGCGAGACGCTGTTCCACGCCACATAACGGCGCGAATCTGGGAATCGGAATCCTTCAGCGTGAGATAACAGTGCCCCGACTGCGGGCGAGAAAAGTTTGAAATCTCACCACTGACCCACACATCGGGGAATACACCTTCGAGCAATTCTTTGATTGCTGCGGTGAGTTCTGAAACCGAAAGAACGCCTCGGCCATCGTCTTGCTGTTGAAACAGCCCGAGTTGAGACATCAAACCTGGGGGGCGAGAGATTGCTAGTGGACGCCGTTCACACAGCGCGTCACTATACCGCCGCCCGCGAGATGGAACTACCCGCTGGTGATGCAAGCCCCAGCGGCAACAGATGCGGACCGGCAAGCGGTTCCTCCACGTCGATTCGCTGACAGGCCAGCGGCGCGGTGGCAGGATGACCAACAATGTCGCCCTCACGACGCGTGCCGGTTTCGGCCCAGGCTTCAGCTTCTTCGGTAAGACGATTGAGCATCCGCTCGACCTGCAGCCGGTAGTGTTCGATGCCGTCGCGATCGAGCTTCGGCGGAAGGTAAATCTCAGGGCTGAGCAAAGCCCGGCCTCGCGAGAACGGACGCGGGATGGCAAAACGATCCCAACTGCCAACGCGCCAGGGATTGTGATAGCCCATGCCCATCAGCACCAAGGGAATACCCAAGCGAGAAGCTAGAAAAATCGGGCCTTGCGATAACACCCGACGCGGCCCACGTGGTCCATCGGGCGTGATGGCCAGGTGCATCGACTCGCTCTTTCGCAGCAACTCCCGCAAAGCGGCCACGCCACCGCGATTGGTCGAGCCCCGCACGCACTCGAAACCCAAGTGGCGAGCCACGTAGCTCAGAATCTCAGCGTCGGAATGGCGGCTCAGCAACATCGCCAGGTTGCAGTGCCCACGCAGATGCAGTGGGAACAAGATGTACTCGTGCCAGAACAGATAAATTTTCTGACCGCTGCACCGCGGATCGGCCGGGTCGACCGCGCGGTCGTAGAGCTGAGCCCGATATTCGAGGGTTCGCATCCACGCCGAGACGGAGGTGGAGGCAAATAAACCAGCAAATTTGAACAACATAGGGCTGCGAATCTTCACGGTCGGGGGCTTCCTTACCTCAGTCGATCGTGTCATCTATCGGGCATGCTTCCGCCCGATGCTATCTACTCCGGGTGATTCCATTCGCCGGAGAATACCTCTTCTGCCGGCCCGGTCATATAGACATGATCGTCATCAGCCCACTCCAACTGCAGATCGCCCCCCAGCAAGTGGACCGTGAGCTTGCGCTGGGTGCGTCCGCTGAGCACCCCAGCAACGCAAACTGCGCAGGCTCCCGTCCCGCATGCTTGCGTCTCACCGCTGCCACGCTCCCACACCCGCATGCGAACCTCGCTGGGAGACATCACCTCGATAAATTCCGCATTCACCCGATTGGGAAATACCGCATGCTTCTCGACCAAAGGGCCCAGCCGGAACACGTGATCGTCGGTCACCTGGTCGACATACGTGATGCAGTGAGGGTTACCCATGGAAACGCAGGTCACTGCCAGTTGCTCGCCGGCGACTTCCAGCGGGGCATCGACCGCGCCCTTATCCGAAGTGGCCGCCAGCGTTGTCGGCACTTCGGCAGGCTTCAAGATCGGTGGTCCCATGTCGACGCGAACTTGATCAACCAGCCCGGTGCTCTCATCGACGTGCACCTCAAGCGTGAGTACCCCGGCGCCGGTTTCGATTCGCAATTCCTTCTGGCGGCAGATCTCGTGGTCGTACACATACTTCGCCACGCAGCGAATGCCATTGCCACACATCTCGGCTTCCGACCCGTCGGCGTTGAACATTCGCATTCGGGCGTCGGCCACCTCCGAAGGACAAATCAGGATCAGACCATCGCCCCCGACCCCCTTATGCCGGTCGGCAATTTTCACGGCGAGCACCTCGGGCCGTTGCGGCTGGGGTTGATCGAAACAATTGACATACACGTAGTCGTTACCGGCCCCGTGCATTTTCGTAAACCGCATCACGCACCCTCGCAATCAACCCACAACAACATTCCGTAGGTCATGCACCCCGTGCATGACAGCTCTCTACGCGACCTTCACCTGAACATCATCCCCGACCACACGAACCTCAAACGCATCGACCTTGAGCCGGGGGTTATCTCGCCAGGTACCATCACGGATATCAAACCGCCAGGCGTGCCAAGGACAGGCGACCGCGCCGTCGCACACTTCTCCATCGGCCAACGATGCCCCCTGGTGTGGACAGATACTGTCGATGGCGAACCACTGATTGTTCTCACGAAACACGGCCACCATTCGCCCATTCACTTCAAACGCCGCCCCCTGCCCTTCCGGGATGGAGTCGACCTTAGTAACCGTGACAAAATCAGACATCGGGGGGTTCAGTGCGGGGAGAAAGTTGATGAGGAGTGAAGAGCGTTTGGACGCGACGCACGTGTTCTGAACGCCCGTCGAAACTGGAGATGCCTATTTTACAAGTGTCTCCGGAAATCGTCCATCGGTCAGCAGCCCGCTTTGCCTTTGCTGCCTCGTCTTATCCCAGGACTTGCGATGCCGCTTCGCGTGTGAAACACTGCTGGCGATTCGGTGTGAGATCTTGCCCCCAGTGCAACCGGAAATGCGAGCCTTCGACGATGAGAACGAATCCTGTTAAACGGAAACTTCAGGCCGGCCAACCCAGTTTCGGAACTTGGCTTTCGCTGGGCGATTTGTATGCCACCCGGGTGCTGGCCCGCATGGGCTTCGATTGGCTCACGCTCGACATCGAACATTCGGCCATCGACTGGTCGCAGGCGGCCATGATCTTTGCTGCCATTGCCGACGCCGGTTGTGTCCCGCTGGCCCGCGTGCCCAAGGGGAACCACGATTACATCAAGCGCGTGCTCGACGCGGGGGCCTGGGGCATTGTGGTGCCCATGGTCGACACGGTGGAGCAGGCCAAAATCGCAATCGCCGCTGCGAAGTACCCGCCAGTGGGCAATCGCAGCCTGGGCGGCGGGATGCACGCTATGAACTTCGACACCAGTGCCGGTGAGTATTACCAGAAGGCGAACGACGAAATCCTCGTCATCCTGCAAACCGAAAGCCCCACCGGCGTGCAGAACGCCAAAGAGATTTATTCGTTGCAAGGCTGCGACGGGATCTTCGTCGGACCCGTCGATCTGCGGGCGAACATGCGGGCACCCGACGGGACCGAGGCCACCGACGATGAGTTCGAAGATGAGTTGGCCCAAATCGTGAAAATCGGAAAGGAAACCGGCACCCCCACCGGCATGCACACCATGGATGCCAACGCTGCGCTGAGCCGTGCCGAGCAAGGGATGCAGTTCATCGCCATCGGTAGCGACCTGCGTCTGATGACCGTGGCTGCCGCAGAGGTCATCGCAAAGGTGGCTCCAGAGGCTGCTGGCAAAGTGGCGGCAAAGTATTAAGGCTCATCCCGCGACCATCAACGACGAATCTATGAGCGGCCCACGATGAGTGTCTATGTCCTCGCCACCCTCGATACCAAAGGGCAAGAGGCGGAGTACATCTGCCGTCGACTCCAGTCGTTCGATATCGAGACGTGCCTGGTCGACACGGGCTGTGTGGGCTCGCCAACAGTCCAGGCAGACATCAGCCGCGAAGCGTTCTTCGCTGCCGGAGATTCGTCACTGGCCGAACTCCAACAGCAGGCCGACCGCGGCAAGGCCATCACCGCAGCAGCCACTGCAGCGGCTAACCTCCTGCAACAAGAACACGCTGCTGGCAAAGTCGATGGGGTGTTGGGCATCGGCGGTTCCGCAGGTTCCACGATTGCCACCTCGGCCATGCGAGCGCTTCCGTTGGGAGTGCCGAAGTTGATGGTCAGCACGTTGGCTTCCGGTCAGGTGCGACAGTATGTGGGCGACAAAGATATTCTGATGCTCAACTCGGTCGTCGACATCCTCGGCGTGAACCGCATCAGTCGACTGATTTTCGATGAGGCCGCCCGAGCGATGGCCGGCATGGTCACCCTGGGTTGCGACGAAAGCACGGAGGCCGATCGCCCCCTAGTGGCCGCCACCATGTTCGGCGTGACCACTCCCTGCGTTCAGCGCGCTCGTGAAGTGCTGGAGCAAGCCGGGTTCGAAGTGCTGGTGTTCCACGCCACGGGGGGTGGCGGTCAGGCGATGGAATCGCTCATCGAAGACGGCCTCATCTCCGGGGTGCTCGACATCACCACCACCGAACTGGCCGATGAACTCGTGGGCGGGGTTTTAAGCGCAGGCCCCGCTCGACTCACGGCAGCCACGATACAGGGTGTACCGCAAGTGGTTTCGGTGGGCGCGACCGACATGGTGAACTTCCACGCTCCAGACACGGTGCCGGTGAAGTTCGCCGAGCGGGTTTTCTACGAACACAACCCCACCGTCACGCTGATGCGAACCACGCGGGAAGAGAATCGCAAGCTCGGCGCCGAAATCGGGCGGAAGGTTGCTCCGGCGGGAAACAAGGCCGTAATTCTCTTGCCAGAACGGGGCGTATCGGCCATCGATGCCGAAGGAAAACCGTTCGACGATCCGCAGGCCCGCAATGAATTGTTCACCGCCGTGGAACAAAATGCGGGCGAGGTCGAGTGCCGTCGCATCGACGCCCACATCAACGATGTGGCTTTCGCCGAAGCGGCCGCCAACCAACTGATCGAACTCATTCGACAAACAGCACCGAGGAACTCCAAGGCATGAGTCTGTTTTCGCGGGAAGCCATCCTTACGAACCTCAAAGCAAAGCTCCAAGCCGGCAAACCGATCATCGGCGGCGGTGCCGGCACCGGTATCAGCGCCAAGTTGGCCGAGGCGGGCGATATCGATCTGCTGGTGATTTACAACTCCGGACGATTCCGCATGGGAGGGCGAGGCTCGCTCGCCGGCCTCATGCCATACGGCGACGCCAACGGAATCGTCATGGACATGGCCCGCGAAGTTCTCCCCGTGGTGAAACATACCCCGGTGCTGGCCGGAGTCTGCGGGACCGATCCATTCCGTGTGATGAAGCTGTTCCTGGCCGAGGTCGACCGTTGTGGTTTCTCCGGAGTGCAGAACTTTCCCACCGTTGGGCTCATCGATGGCACCTTCCGTGCGAACCTGGAAGAGACCGGCATGAGTTTCGGGCTCGAAGTCGACATGATCCGCATGGCCCACGAAATGGACTTACTGACGACCCCTTACGCGTTCAACCCTGATGAGGCCGCCGCGATGGCTGGGGCGGGGGCCGATATCCTCATCCCCCACATGGGACTCACCACTAAGGGAAGCATAGGAGCCGAGACGGCTCTCACGCTGGAAGAGTCGGCCAAGCGAGTGCAAGCAATGCATGATGCCGCCAAACGGGTGAACAACGACATCATGGTTCTCTGTCACGGTGGGCCCATCGCCGAACCAGAAGATGCCCAATACATCCTCGATCACACCGAGGGAATCGTAGGCTTCTATGGTGCCAGCAGCATGGAACGCCTGCCTGTGGAACCGGCCATCACAAATCGCGTTCGCGAATTCGGAGCGTTGAAGTTCTCTTAACCCTCTGCCCCACGGTCATGCTGGCACGAGGGTCGCTGGCACACGCACCTTCTGTCTTCGGTATTGATCTTGGCCGCCGCACGATCGTTTTGATATGGTCCGCCCACGGGTGTTCTCCCGTTGTCCACTTTCGTGGCGTCCGATCCACTGCCTCTGGCTATGGCGAATTCGATGGTGCTTCAATCTCGGTCGTGGGTTTCCACGTGTATCCTCTGTGCGTTAGCAGGCATTTTCACCGGCTGTGCGGATATGCCACGCCCAGCGTGGATGGCCAAAGATTCGGCTAAAGAAGATGCACAAATAGCTGGTGTCCGCGATTCGGCCCTGGAGTTAGAGCGCCTGGAAGATTTGGCAGACGATGCCAAGAAGATGGAAGCCGCCGAGCAGGAAACCGTCTCGCAGCAGTTGGCCCAACAGTTGGCCGCCGAGTCTGACCCGATTATTCGGGCACAACTCATTCGCACCCTAGCCGCCTACCCCACCTCAACGGCTGCGTTGATGTTGAAACAGGGACTCCGTGATACCAGTAAAGATGTGCGAGTACTTTGTTGCGAGAAGCTAGGCGAAAGGGATGACCCGGAGACCGCAAAACTTCTGGCCGAAGTAATCGCCAGCGATACGGACATCGACGTACGCTTGGCCGCCGCGCGAGGGCTTGGCGAAATGGAAGACACCCAAGCTTTAGACGGCCTTGCGGTGGCATTGGACGACCCCAACCCGGCGATGCGTCGCCGTGCGGTCGTTTCATTGCAGAACGTAACGGGGCGTGACTACGGGGGCGACATCACCGCATGGCGGCAGTATGTACAAGGTACCGAACCCCAATTGGATACACCCTCCATCGCCGAACGCATCCGCGACGTTTTCTAGTTCAACTTCCGCTTGGACATTCAGCGCTGCTGTTCTAGCAGTAGCGGCAAGCCGTGCAATCTGCCGTAACAGCCGCACGGATTGTAAGGTTCGCGCTGGGCGACTCCGCCACTTACGTGTGAAGGGACTTTTGCCCTCTGTGCGACTGGGCAAACTCTACGGCCAAGTGGCCAAATGCAGGCAGCGCCGCAGGTCCCCGACCCCGTATAAACACTCCCTCTTAAAACAGTCGGGGGAGGTTCCTCTGAAAACTCGCCACGAAGCCGTGAACTGCGCCGTTCAGACTTCCGATACCAATGCTACCACGTAAAGGTAGAGCGGGTCTCGTCGGGCGGGCTCGAGGTACTGCCTACGTAGTGGCACTGATAGGCAGTTTGCTGTGACAGCAGTTACCGCTGCCACGCCCCAGATCAAAGCGTTGCGTCCCTCCCTCCCCGAAAAGGTTTCAGGATGAGTTCACGTATTGGCTTGCTGGTTGCATTCCTGGCCCTGCTATCGTTCTCCGGCACCTCGTCTACGGCGGAAGAGATCTACGCTGAGCCCGCTCACGAGGCAGGTTCTTCATACGACGCAGTCTGGGCCCAGGCCGCGGGCTATCCACGCGGCGAGCGCGGAATCTATCGCCAAACGCCACACCGATCGGTGCGGCCGCAGCGGCAGAGCGAACCAGAACCAAACCTGGGCGGAGCGGCCAACCAGTTCATTCGCGGACATATTCGCCCGGTTAGCCTCGAAGATCTGGAAACCAAAATCGATCGCGTGTTAGACATGTACCACCGTCGATTGCTAGACACTTCGAAAAATGACCCGTGGGAAGTGATGCACGGCATCATTGCCTACGGCTGCGATACAAAACTTGCCCATGGTCGTACCAGCGAACCGGTGAATGCAATTTCTTACGTTTGCTGGAACGGGCTCTGCAGCAGCGATCGCTTGCTCTACACCAAGGGCGATCGTCTCGAGGCTCGCAAAGGCCCCCACGTGCAAGGACACTACGGGCAATTCCTCGCTATCTTGGCTCAATCGCGTGTGCCGACCGACTACCCATTGTTGGTCGACAACAAGAATTTCACGCTTGAAGACCTGATCGAATCCGAGAAGCTCGGCTGCCGGGCGAACACCGAACTCACGTTCAAGCTGATCGCCCTGACGCATTACCTGGGCAGCGATGCCACCTGGAAGAACGATCTGGGAGAGGACTGGTCGATCGAACGATTGATCAATGCCGAGATCGGTTCGACCATCCAAGGTGCGGCCTGCGGTGGAACGCATCGCCTGACGGGCATCTACTATCCTGTCGAGCGTCGCCTGAAGGAAGGTAAGCCAATCACCGGCGAGTATGAGCGAGCCCAGAAGTACACGCACGACTATCAGCGGTACGCCTTCAGCCTGCAGAACCCCGACGGCAGCTTCAGCACCGAGTGGTTCAAGCGGCCCGGCAACCGACAAGACGTCGATCGTAAAGTGAAGACCACCGGTCACATCCTCGAGTGGCTCACGTTCACGCTCTCAGATGAAGAGCTACGAGATCCCAAGACGGTGAAGTGCGTGAACTTCATCGCCTCGGTGCTCATGTCGGAACCTCGCCGTCAGTGGGAGATCGGCCCGCTGGGGCACGCGATTCACGCCCTGCAAATTTATCGCGACCGAGTGTATCGCTCACCGACCGAGGAACCGACCCAAGAGCGAACCCCGATCGCCGAGGCCACCGAAGCAGAAGCAACTCCCAAGGTCGCTCGCAACGCGGCCGAGGAAATTGAAACGGCTGACATCATCGAAGCCGAAGCAGAAGCCTCCGACGAGGTCACCTCGGAAGAGGTCGAGAGCGTCGAAGAAGCCCCCGAGGAAGTCGAAACCGTGGAAGAGCCGGAAGAAGCAACTCCGGCCCCCGCGATCGAAGGCCCGGTTTTGTTCCCCGCAAACTTCTAAACCGCTCAACGTCTCCTGAGTGAACTACCCACGCCCGCGGCGAATGATTGCCGCGGGCGTTTTTCATGCGCTGGGGAAAGCTCGACACAACCTTGTTTGAGCCCTCGCTCAAGGGTCAAGCCGACCCGCTCGACCAGATGCTCGACCCGGGGTTTCCGGTAGATTAGAGTTTCTGTGGCGGCATTCCTCGGGCATTTGCCACCTGCCGTGGGGACAATCACACTAGAGGTTGGCGCTCGACGTGAGGGGCTTCCCTGCGTCTGATCATTGCCACCTACCTTGAAGGTGTCACTACGGGGGATCTTCGCAGACCTACCTACGATCCAGGGGCGGCGCACGAACCATCAATGCCGGACCTCCCACCGAACATCGCTTGCTACGACGAGAGGACGAATTCGCATGCTGCAATTAGTTGGCGTAACGGTCTCGCTGCTGCTAGGAGTAGCCGCGACACCCGAGGCCGCCGAACCCGCGGCGTTTCAGCTTAAAGACGGCGACCGCGTCGTTCTGGTCGGCAACACGCTGATCGAACGCGCGGCTCAACACGGCTACATCGAGACCAAACTCACGCTTGCCAATCCCGAGGCGAACATCACGTTCCGCAACCTGGGATGGAGCGGCGACACCGTCTGGGCCGAATCGCGAGCCGGATTCGACACGCCCAATGAAGGTTTCGAACGCCTCAAAGAGGCGGTCATGGTCGCCGACCCAACCGTCATTCTAGTGGGCTATGGCGGCAATGAGGCTTACAACGGCGGCCAGGGACTCCCCAGGTTCTTGCTTGGTTTGCAGCGTCTGCTGAAAGTGTTCAGTGAAACCGAGGCTCGCATCGTGCTTCTGTCACCGATACGCCACGAAGATCTTGGGCGACCTCTGCCCAACCCGGCTTCGCATAACGCAAACCTGAGAGCCTATGCCGAGGCCATGCGGAAGCTTGCGGCTTCACAGAATCTCGGCTGGATTGAACTCGAACCGGCACTCTCCGTTCGTGCCGTCGCTCAGCCCACGCTGCCGCTCACCTACAACGGAATGCATCTCAACGACTATGGCTACTGGCGGGCCGCCGAAGTGATCGCGGAACAAGCTGGTATCGCCCTGCCCCGCTGGCGAGTCTCGCTAACTGCCGACGGAGACGTCGAGGAAGCGAAGGGAACTCAAATTGAAGGCACTTCCACCGCCAATGGCATTCTGCAATGGACCGCATTAGATGATTATCTGCCCTCACCGCCCAATCCCGCCGCAGCCGAACTTCCCTACGAAGAATCTTCTCCGCAACGGGTACTTAAAATCACAGGGCTTGGTGAAGCGATATACAGTCTGAGCATCGACGGAGAACCGTGCTGCACAGCCACGGCCGAGCAGTGGAGCGAAGGCGTCTCACTCACTTCTGGCCCCGAGTTCGCTGCAACCGAAGCACTGCGACAGGCCATTCTGAAAAAGAACGAATTATTCTTCTATCGATGGCGTCCCCAAAACACCACCTATCTTTTCGGGTTCCGCAAACACGAACAGGGCAACAACGCCGCTGAGGTTGCTCAGTTCGACCCGTTGGTGACCCAGCAAGAAGAGGAGATCGCCCGTTTGCGTCGTCCTGTTGAACATCGGTACGAAGTGAAAAAGGAAAGTGAGGTGAACCAATGATTCGTTTCCCCCCACACTTCTCGAAGCTTCTAGCCGCCATGACCGTAATTTCTATCGCCTCGCCAGTGTTGGCACAGCGAGAATTGAAAGACATTCCTGTTCCCGACCCCACCCGGGAAATCGACGAACTGAATCTGGCAGACGGGTTCGAAATTAGTCTCTATGCGGCCGACCCCGATATCGCATCGCCGATCCAGATGAACTTCGACCCGCAAGGGCGACTCTGGATCGCCGGTTCGAACACCTACCCCCACATCGCCCCCGGCAATGAAGCCGACGACAAGATCATGCTCCTGGAAGATTGCGACGGCGATGGCGTGGCCGAAAAATCAACAATCTTCGCCCGCGGGCTGCTCATCCCCACCGGCATCGCCCCCGGCGACGGTGGTGTGTACGTTGCAAACAGTACCGAACTCCTCCACATGCGCGATACCGATGGAGACAACGTGGCTGACGAGTCTCGCGTAGTGCTCTCTGGCTTCGGCACCGAAGACACCCACCACATTCTGCATACACTGCGGTGGGGCCCCGACGGGATGCTGTACTTCAACCAATCGATTTACATCCATAGCCACATTGAAACCCCTTGGGGTGTTCGCCGGCTGAACGGCGGTGGCATCTGGCAGTTCCGGCCAGAGTCGCTCGAACTCGACGTGTTCGTCCGCGGGTTCGTGAACACCTGGGGACACACCTTCGATCGCTGGGGGCAATCGTTCGCTACCGATGGTGCCGGCGGACAGGGTATCAACTATCTGTTACCCGGGGCCTACTACACCACGGCCGTGGGTGCCACACGCACGCTCGAGGGACTGAACCCCGGCAGCCCAAAGTATTGCGGCGCCGAGATTGTCGACGGCCGACACCTGCCCGACGACTGGCAAGGCAACATCATCACGGCTGACTTCCGCGCAAATCGGGTCTGCCGGTTCGTAATCTCCGAAGACGGTGCCGGCTACGCCGCTCAGCAGATGCCCGACCTGGTTGGCTCTTCGAACGTGGCTTTCCGCCCAGTGGACATCAAGCAAGGACCCGACGGCGCGATCTACCTGGCCGACTGGTACAACCCCATCATCCAACATGGCGAAGTTGACTTCCGCGACCCCCGCCGCGACCACGTGCACGGCCGCATCTGGCGGATCACATGCAAAGCCCGCCCCCTGGTCGAGCGTCCCCAACTCGTAACCGCCACCACTGGCGAGTTGCTTGAGGAACTGAAAGCCCCGGAAAGCTATACACGACAACAAGCCAAACGGGTGCTTCGTGAACGCGGCGACGCAATTCTGCCCGAACTGGAAGAATGGACAGCCGCACTCGATCCTGCGGGCGAGAACTACGAACACAACCGGCTAGAGGCCCTGTGGACGTATCAATCGATTGATATCGTCGAACCGGCGTTGCTCGATTCACTGCTCACGGCCACCGACCCTCGA